GCTTGACTTTCCCAAAGGATCCCTCCTGCATTGCACCAGGGAGGGGATGGAGCAGCATCTGCCCTTTCCATCCATCCCAGCAGCTCCCTGGGCCAAATCTCCCCGGGAATCCTCTGCCTGCAGTTGCCACAACAACAAAGTGATGCAACAGTTCCCTCTGGGGATGCAGGAGATGTCGATGCTGAGGACCGGGGGTGGGGGGGTGAACTGCCCTGGTGAACACGCTGGTGCTGGAGGAGATCCAGGCAGGGTAAATCCCATCCTGGTTGCCAATGTCCCCAGCCTGGTCCCGGCTCTATCTGAGCCCAGTTTGGGGGGTTTTGTCCCCGCTGAGCTGTGGCTGCCGCTGCCACCATCGTCTCCCAGGGGAGGGAGCGCCGCACACGAGGAGCCAGAGCCCCGGATCCAGCCGGGAACGAGGTGGACAAATAAACCCAGAGGGAGCTGCTGTGCCGGGCACAGCCCCCGGCACACAAATCCCTGGCTCGGCCCCCGGGGCAGCCCCGAACCCACCCCGTGGAAGATACTGGGAATATGTTCCGTGGAACAGGGCGCTCCCTCCCACCCAGCCCTTCCAGGTTCGCCTGGAAACGGAGCCGGTTCCCTTTCTGAGCAGGAAACCCCCAGTGGTTGCTCCTCAGGCTCCAGGATGGCCCCATCCCCCCCGTGCCCGGCCCTGTGCCCCTATTTCAGTGGGGACAGTGGGGGGATGGGGGCTCAGGGTGGGTGGGCACGAGGGGATCCCCCCAGCTGCCCATGCAGCGGTGCCAGACCTGCCCCCCCAGCACAGGACCCGGGGCACCCACGGCACACGGAGCTCCTCAATGGGGCCCTTGTCCCTGCCGTGCCAGCTGGCCCAGGGGACACCAGCTGTGCCCACAGCTCACCCGTGCCCCGCACACCGAGAGGGAGTGGGATAGGATTTGGGGCACCCAGCACCCAAAAACGGGCACCCATTGCCCAAACACGAGCAACCATCACCCCATTACCCAAATCTTGGACACCCATCACCCCCAACCAGCTACAGTTCCTCCACCACCCAAAGACAAGGCACTCGGCACCCAAACACGGGCACCCATCACCCCAAAGTGAACCCATCACCCCCACCCAAACTTGGGGCACCCGTCACCCCCAACCAGACACCACTGACCCGTCACCCAAACGTGAGTACCTGTCACCCGAATCTGGGACACCCATCATCCCCAACCAGCTACAGTTCAACCGTCCCCCAAACACGGGGCACCCATCACCCCAAAAATGAGCACCCACCACCCCAAAATGGGGCACCCAGCACCCCAAACATGAGCACCCACCACCCCAAAATGGGGCACCCAGCACCCCAAACATGGGGCACCCAGCACCCCAAATATGGGCACCCAGCACCCAAACGTGAACACCCACCACCCCCACCCAAATTCTGGACACCCATGGCCCCCAAACAGCTACAGTTCATCCACCACCCAAAGACAGGGCACTCGCCACCCAAACCCGGGGGCACCCCTCACCCCAACACCCACCGCCTTCCCCCAAACGCGGGGCACTCCCTGCCCCGACACGATCCCCACGCGTGTTCCCAAACCCCGGCAGGTCCCGCCGTGTCCCCCCGGCTCTCCCGGGCCACCGGCGCCACCTCGCGGGGACGGGCAGAGACGGGCAGGGACGGGCAGGGACGCGACACGGGCACCCCCACACAGGGCACCCCACACAGGGTACCCCAAACAGGGCACCCGTCCCCAGATGGGGGGCAGAGGCGGGCAGGGCACCTGGCCGGGGGCACCCAGGGTGGTCCCCCTGCCACTCGGGGTGCCACCACCCCACGGCACAGCCCTGCCCCTCCCTGCTGGTCCTGGGTACCAGTGGGGTGGTGGGTGCCCACTTTGGGGTGCCCCTTTTTGGGGTGCCCCATGTGGCGGTCCCCAGACTGAGGTGCCCGTGACAGGATGCCCGTTTTGGGTTGACCCGTGCCCTGGTGCCCCATATTGGGGTGCCCATTTTGGGGTGCCCTTGCTGGGATTTCGGTGCCCCCATTGGGGTGCCCTGTTTTGGTGTGACCTCAGGACTGCTATGCTGGACCAGCCAAGGCTCAGGGTCACCTTCCCAGGGTCACACATCCCCCCTGTGCCATCTGCACTGGGCACCTGGACAGGGGCACCCCAATAAGGGCATCCCAAAACGGGCACTCCAAAACAGGGACCCCAAAACAGGGACCCCAAAATGGACACCCCAAAACGGGCACCCCAAAACGGGCACCCCAAAGCGGGCACCCCAAAGCGGGCACCCCAAAACGGGCACCCCAAAACGGGCATTCAGTTGTACCCTCAGATGCTGAACAGCCCCGATTTCACATTTTTTTCCCCCCAAAACCCTTCACACAAAAATCACAATTAATGTCCCAGGGTAAAAACCTCATTAAACTTATCAGGATGTGAAACCCTTGGGAGTGTTTTCCCAGTGCCAGGAATGGGGGAGGAAGCTTTTGGAAGTGCTGCCCTGGGGGAAAAGCAGGAGCAGGCCCGAACCAGCAGCTCCATCAGGGATCTGATGGCCGGGATTTTGTTTTCCCACCCACACCGGGACTCAGGAGCTCCTCTCAGAGCTCTCCCAAGGCACAGCATTCCTTAGGGATCCATCCAGTTCCTTCCCTGGGAATGCTTCCCTGGGAAAATACAACGGGAGAAACAGGAGGTGGCGTCATTTATACATAAAAATAAAATAAATCTGAGCTGCAAAAGCCAGAAAAGACAAAAACTGGGAATTTCGAGCTCTGGTTATTACCTATGACAAGCTGGGAATTTAAAGCTTTAGGTAAAGTTGGGAATTTGAAGGTTTAGGATTCAACAGTGGCAGTGATGAGGGTCAGAGCCCTGCTCCCAATTAAAGGTGCTTTAAAGGAATCTCCCCCAAAACCCTTCAGGGGTTCCAGGAAGAAAAAGTCATTCCCGCCCCAAACGAAAATTTTTTAAGGCTGAACCAAGTCAGGAGGAGGAATCCTTGGAAACTCAGTCTGGAAGGATCAACTTTGGGGGCCAAATTCGTCTGTAGGTGTTCCCTGCATCTCCCGGCCTGGCCCGGTGACAAAGTGACAGTGTGACGGTATTATGACAGTGGGACAGTGTGACGGTGCAGCGGGCCGGGTCAATCCCAGGGCTTTTCCCAAGGTTTTTGAGGAAGGGGCAGGATCCCCTCCCTGCCCCTCTGCCAGCGCTGCTGCTCACACGGTCCGGGACCCCGCGGGGCTCTGGGCCCTGGGTCGGGTCCTGCAGCTCATTGAACACTCCAAGCGCTTCCTGGGTTGGGGTTTCCCTTTGCAGGTCGGTGTTTGCTGTTCCCAACCCACGGGATGGGAGGGCGGGACCCCCAGGACCCTGTGCTCCGGTGGGCGGGGCCTACGTGAGTGGGCGTGGTCTGGTTGGGGTGGGCGGGGCAGGTTCGGGGGCGTGGCAAGGTGGGCTGTGGGCTGTGGTCATGCGGGGGCGTGGCCAGATGGGATGGGTGTGGATTAATCGGAGTGGGCGGGGCTGACGAGCCGTGTATGGACGGAGGGCTGGCTATGGAGGCGTGGTCATGGGGCAGGGGCGTGGCCAGGAGCTATCGGGGGCGCGAGCTAATAAGAGTGGGCGGGAAGGAGCAGCTGCACTCGGACTATTGGGCGTGGCCGTGGGGCAGGGCGTGGCCAGCTGGGCTGGGGGGCTTGTCTAGAGCGGGGACGAAGAGGGCAGACCCAGGAGAGGGGGGGGCGAGAGGGCGTAGCCGCCCAGTCGGGGGGGCGTGTCCATTCATCAGGGGCGTGTCCACGCGGTCGGGGGGCGTGGCTGGAGATCGGAGGGCCCGGCGGGCGCGCCAGAAGCTGCTGGGGGCGTGGCTACATTTACGGGCGCGGTCTGAGTGGAATGGGCGTGGTTTGATGGAGTAGGCGTGGCTAGAGGGAGCGCGGCGCGGCTGAGAGGGCCGGTGGGGGCGTGGTCTCTCGTTAAGGGGCGTGGTCGTACAGGGGGCGTGGCCTCGCCCTCAGCTGACCGGCCGCCATTTTGTCGGCGCCGGAGCCCCAGCGCCGGCCGGAGCTGCGCCCGCGGCCGGGGCCGTCCCTGCCCTGCCCGCTCGCCCTCTCGCCCGCCGGGGCCGCTCCACCCGCGCCCCACGAGCCCCTCCGAGCCCCCCGGCATGTGAGCGCCCGGCACCGCTGGTCCCACCCGGCTCCGAGCGGCAGCGGCACCGCGACGGCCCCAGCACCCCCCCAACCCCGACCGGGCCCGGCCCCCTCAGCCCGGCACAGGCCCCGCCGCCGCCACCGCCATGGCGCTGAAGATGGTGAAGGGCAGCATCGACCGCATGTTCGACAAGAACCTGCAGGACCTGGTGCGCGGCATCCGCAACCACAAGGAGGACGAGGTGAGGGTCGGGCCGGGGGTGTCGCCGCTCGCTGCCCGCAGGGGCCGTGTCTGGGGCGCGGGTGTGGGCCCGGGGAAGGGGGAAGCGGGAATCAGAAGGAGGAAGGTGACGCCGGGGTGTGGGGACGGAGGGACAGGCTGGGAGAGAGCACGGAACTTCATAAGGGAGGGTCACGCTTGGTGCTCGCCTTCCCATTTAGTGTGGTATTGAGGCATTGAGATCCCTGATATACATATACATAGAAATATATATATATATATGTACACACACATACACGAGCAATATAGCGGACTAATATAGGGGAATTCCTTCCTCCACAGCCCTCCAGTCACGTGTAGTCAGCTAGATATTCTTCACCACGAAGCTGATCTCCAGGAGAGCTGAGCTCAGTCATAATTCAGCTTCCAGGTTATTCCCGCTGTGCATCCTCTGACTGAAAAGCCCCTCTCTCGGAGCTCTTTCTGAGCAGCACTCCGTTGTGGGTGCTGGCCTGTTATCCCTCATGCATGAGAGCCACGTGATCAGGAAATTAGTATAGGTGAAATAATTAATCATCAAGAACGTGTTATGTGAGGCTCCCCAGCGAGGTGTCACACGGTGACTGGGAAGTAACGGGCACCGAGGATGTCACTCGTGTTCATCTTCAAGTCAGTCACGACCTGAGAAGCTTTTTTTTTACGTCTGGTGTAACAGTTGGGCCTTGCTGGGGTGTTGGGGAGTTGCTCTGGGTAGTAACAGGCTGAAAAAGAAATAAGACTACGATGTCTTTTTATACAAATACAATAACCAAGTGGTATCAGCTGTCCAAAGCAGCTGGGAAAGTTGGGAACGTGTAATTCCATTAAATACTTGGAAAACAGATTTTGTCATTGCTGGTGCTGCTGGGCTGAAACACAGAACAGAGCTTTCAGAATCTCTGGACTGTTCAAATGGTTTTTAAGTCCCTTGTGCACAGGGCAAGGTGTTGCTACACTTGGAAACTTGTGGTTTTATAGAATATGCTGAGTTGGAAGGGACCCATTGGGATCATGGAATCGGGTTTATTTTAGTGTAAGTTAAATTTATGGGTGTTGGTTTGGTGGCAGAGGAAAACACTGCCCTGCAAAATGTTTGGAAACGTGACAGAAAAGTGGAAAAACCATTTCTGCATGGAATTTGTTACGAGTCTGATGTTCTCCCCAAACCTGGCCCTGCTGAGCTGTGTTCCTTTGAGCCCTCCCCACAGCACTCTGTGTGTTGTGCTGCTTTTAGTAAACCTGCTTTATTCTTTTGTGCATAGGGCAGAAAACGTTTCCTCAACTCTCAGACCTCCGAGGATCCCCCTGGTGAAGGTCTGGGCTGGCCCCAGTTCTTGGAGAAGAATGGAACGTGCTGTTCTCCTTTCTCAAACAATTCTGTCACAAACAGCTTCCTAAAGAGCACGAGTGCAGCACGAGCAGGTTCCTGTGCACCATGAGCCACTCTGAGCTTGTTTTCAGTCTGTGACAAGAAATGGTTCAAATCCAGTGGCTTTGGTGTCCTCTGGAGCCAGGAAAGAACACACCTTGGGTAATTTTGCAGGGCTCTGTGTGTTTGAAGGAAGTTGTTGCTCAATAAATTCACATTCTGGGATTTAGTGAGGTCAGAGCAGAAGTGTTGTCTCTGACAACACATCTTAAACTCTTTAGTTTGGAGCACAAGTGGTAAGATTTCAAAACAGATAACTGTAGGGGTAATTGCTTTTTATATCCTCATGAGCACAGCACAAATTAACCCCCAGATTCTGGGTGTGTTCAGCTCATTAAGACTGGTGAGATGTGTGTGTTGTGTGGCACAGACTGTTTGGGAATCCTTCAAAGATCCTGCCTAATTCCAAGGACTGTGCCTTGTCCTGGCTCAGCTGGAAACCTGCTGGTGAGCTTTAGGGCCTGGATTAAACGCTGCCCAGACATTTGCTAACTTTCAGGTGATGTTACAAAATCAAAAAGCTCTTTTCGAGGAAGTAGCTGCAAAAATTCTTCCTCCTTCTCCTACAGTGCTTCCATTGTTCATTGTGTCTGTTAAATGTTGCTCCAGTACTGAGTGTGGCTGTTCAACCAACATTTGTGTGTCTGAAGGATAAGTGTTCGAGCTTAAGACACACAGTCTGTCCTGTTCAGAGCAGCAAATTTTGTTTAATCAAACAGCAGTGTGGGGGGAGGAGGATGTTGGCTGTTGGTCTCAGCTCAGCAGGAGTTAACTCCACGAAGAGCTGTCTCTGGAAAGGACAGTGGTTGTTAAATGAAAACAACGTGGCAAGAAATGGAGGAGTGATTTTTGCTTTGGTTTCTGATTTAGTTATTTTTTTATGTGTTGAGTTTTGCCATCCCTTTCCCCCCCCTTCACCCTTCTGGGCAAGGAGGGTTTATTCCTTTCCCCTTCCTGGGGTACCGCGGCAGGTGAGTGATTTGTGTTCCACCGTGCAGGATGTCCCAGGTGCTTCTCACCTCATTTCACACGCGGCTTTCTCTTTGACAGCCCCGCTGTGCTCCTGCTTGATGGGTTTGTGATCCCCCCTGTGTCGCTGGGACCCCAAATCTCACCCCCCACGGGAGGTTGCAGCTCTTTATTGGTAAATTGTGTCCTGCAGCTCCCAGCCTGTCTGCAGGGCATGATTCCCTGTCAGAGGCATTCCCATTGTCCCTCCTGCTCTGTATCCAGGGCTGAGCCGCTTATTTTGAGTTTCAGCCACTGAAGCTGCAGGATGTGAGGTAAGAGGGAGGAGGTGGTTAACACAGTCCCTGTTGTGTGCGTTTTCCAGTTTTCCAGGGAATGCTGGAGCTGCATCATGGGCAGGGGAAGGAAGGATGAGGTGGCAGCACAGCATTAGCTCCTTGCCGGGGTTGACACGTTGTGTTTACTTTCCAACACTTCGGTCCCTGTGGTGTTTCCCAGAGCCAGTTCAAAGTCTGAGGCAAAGCCAGACGTTCCAAGAACGACCTGATCCTGCTGTGTTCTCCCGATTTTCACTCCCAATACCTCATTCTTTCTCTTTTGGAAAATTAATCCTTTGGCTCATGAAAGCTGTGAGTCTCACGGTTTTGTACCCCATGGAATAACTTCTCCCACTTTGTGCCTACTCCTTATGGATCTGCTACACAGCACTCTCAGCTTGAACCCCAGGCTGTTAGAAGTATCCTGGATTTTCTCCAGGATGTTCCAAACTGATAGATGCTGTCTGTTCTCCCAACTGTGAAATAAGGGAAAGGATAATCCTGTGATGGTGTTTGGCTCTTGCACAGTGTTTGCAGTTAAGGAATTTGTTGTTCCCACCAAGGAAGCTGCTGTCAGATGCTGTGGTGAGAGGCTTCTTTATAAAACTGAAATGATAAAGGAGCAGAAGCAGAGATGTCAATCAGGTGCTTTGTCCTGTCCAGACCACAGCCCTCTGTTTCAGGTGGCTCTGATTTACTGGAGGACACTTAAGGAGGGAGAAGGGATTCAAAAAGTCCTGCATTAAATGTCTCCACACTTCTCTCATAACTTTAGAAAACCCCCTCCCTCTTCTCCCAGGCTGTGCTGTGTGTGCCAGGATCAGCCCTTTGTGTTCCTGTCAATCGATCCTTTCAGGAAAAAGCATATTAAAAAATTCATTTTGTCCTCTGGGGTGTTTGGTGATAGGTATCTCGTTGCTGGTTTACATTTAGGAAGCTGTTTTGTACAGAAGCAAGTTGGAGCAGTGAAAGGAGCAATCTGTGCTTCTGGTTGGAAAAACATAATTTGTGTCAGTTGTTGATATAATGCTGGAGAGAAACGTTCCACTGCTCAGCCTGGGCAGCAGGTTACCTAAGGACAGGGGACTTTCACTGTTCAAACCCCTTTTTCCCTAAATAAAGGGCTGCTGTGCTCCACTGCACAGCTCCAGCTTCTCCTCTACAGTGACGTCTGCAGGAGTTTGGAGGAACCTTTGAGCATCTCAGCCTGTCGTGAGCAAGGCCTTCTAATGCTGTGGCTCCTGGGCCTCGGACACGGGGGGGAGTATTGGGGTCTGATGGCAAAGGATGTGGGATGGGACATCAGCAGGGCATTTTGAGGGGTGCTCAGAAGCCTTTTGGTGCCTGAGGCTGTGCAGTTCATTGATGCCGGGCGGCTCTTTGAGGCTGTGCAGCTGATCAGTCACTGCGTGGCAGATGTGTGTTAATAGCTCTGAAGGCAGCTCATTATTCCACCCACTTTCGAGTGGCTCTGGGGTTGCTATTGTTAATTCTTTGAGTCGCTGGGAAAGACAAGAGTGGGAAATAGAAACAGTACACAAAGAGGGTTGGGTAAGGACCTCACTCCAGTCTGGGCTGTGTGTGAGTGTGTCCTGCCTCACCTGCCGTGTCCCAGCGTGGGACACGAGCCAAGGTGTGGCTCTGTCCTCCTGCAGGAGCAGCTGAGCCTGTGCATTAGCGCTGCCTTTCATGAGCTTCTTGCTCTCTCCTGTATTAAATATTCCTTAATTGGCTGTGCCACAAGTGGGGCCAACAGCTTTGTTCCCAGTCCAGGTTGGGTTGGAGCCGTCTCTGCTGAGGGTTTGAAAGGATCCAGACGTGTGGAAGGAAGTATTGTGCCTGGCCAGGTGCAGGGCAAGGGAAGAGCTTTCTGTACCTAAGGAGTGGATTGGCCATGCACTGTGCCTTTAGTGGGGTCAGTAAAGGAACAGCCTGAAAAATCAAAGTAAAATACAGATAGAAATTCCATTTCAGCGCTGTGATCGGATGCTGAGACTTGTTTATTTGCTGCTTTTTGATGCAGATCTTGGTCCCAGTGCTGAGTGCAGAAAATGAGGCCTTTTGTGATTTCCTGTCATCAGTGGCCACTCGAGTGAGGGAAAAGCTCTTCCTCCACAATGTGGGTTAGAGAATACATTTGCGTGCAGAGAGTACCTTTAGATTGTTCACTGGGGAGTGTTCCTGCTACTGTATCCTGTTCTGTGCCATGGAAAGAGCAGCAAGGGCAGCATTGCAGACAGAACAGAGTCATGGGACCAGTCACAAAGA